GATGTCATGATGGGACAGTTCAATCCCGTTCAAATCGTTCACTAAAAATAGGGAACGTCATAGTTTTATTCTTAGCATGAATGGCCTCGTGAATTGCATTTTTCTCTTTGATAAAAATACTTAAGACTTTATTCATTGCTCCATCTCTTCTTGGTTAAAGATTTCTTTTCACTGCAAGACGTATTTGATTTCAAAGCTAATTGATTTCTTTCATATCATAAACATGATGGGGACGTTTTTACTTGAAATATTATTTCATTGGGTCCAATATTTCCTGTGGGAGAGGCTTCCATCTCAGAGCATTAGCGGTAGTCAGATTGGAAACGCTGACCTCTTTTGGCTTACTTTTAAAATATTGACGTCAAAAGTGATATTTGGTGGTCTATTCGCTGTAATGCACTTTATTATTTTGTCGTATTTTTGCAAAATGTGGAAGAGCCATACTTTGCCGTGGATAGGTCGTCATAAACGGACTGGTACCACAGCCTCTCGGAAAACCAGCGTGAAACAAAGCTTGCGGCGTGTTTCGGAGTGTGAGTTTGTTACCGGATGCCCAATTCCGCGTACCCAAATCCTTAAACCCCATGAGGTCAGAAACACACTTGTTACTATTCTGGTGTTGCGGTTGCGGGCGGTGTCGACAACATTATATGTTGATGATGATAATCAGAGTAGTAATGTAATAAGGTAGTAATCCCACCTTCCATAGTCTTTCTTTTAAAAAGTTTGAAAGTTTCTTGTAATTTTCCCTCAGCTGAACCGTTTTTTTTGTCAGTGGAAAATTATCAGAGAGTGTCAGAGTCTTACTGATTAAAAAACCCCCCGTTTCTTCTCCTACTCTGGGCCGAGGCCGCGGTGACTCAATAGGGCCCCGTCTGTGGTGGTCTATTGGCTCTTTGAGGCCAGCTGAACAGATGTGGATATTCAATATTCGAAATAATCGAAATGTATTTTTACGAGTAGCACCCTACGCCGGTTTTTCAAATATGGAATCGAGTTTACTGTCACATACCGAATATACCTCTAGGGTTACCAAACGAATTACGTTTCGGGAAAGTTCGATATTCGAATAAAAAACTGCATGTTTGTCCAATTCTCGATGCATGTAGACTAGTGTAGCATAACTTTATTAAATCCTTTGACGGATACCTCTGGATACGAATCAAAGGACTTTGAATTCTAGCTAGTAGCAGTAAAATATTCTTTAGCGATTATTATGAAAATATTTACTTACAATTAATTATACGTTAAAACTTTATTACCTTTTTTAATATCTACTAACTACTTCTGAAAAATTGCTAATTCAGCTAAAGGTTGCTATTCATTAATGCAAGAATATATTTATTACTCTCGCAACAAGTTTTTTATCTGTTTTTATTGATAATAGATTATCAATAAAAACAGATAAATCGGCGGGTAAGGATAAGCGGGTCCCTAGAAGCAAGTCGTATAGATACGACTTGCTTCTAGGGACCCGCTCCCTGCGGACCCTATTAATTAGGTATATCAAAGTACATCAGAATTACAATAAAATAAACTAATCTGTTTTAAAGAAGGAATATCAACCAAATATCTGTATGGATTGAGGCATTCAATCGAACCAGCTAGATTACGATGTAAGGGCAATAATGCTCTGCGGCCACGGCACGGGCTAGGGGAATAAACAGGATGGTACACAGTTTTATTAAACGTAAGAGCCTGACATTCTCTTGCACTCCCACCGAGGGTGGGAGAGGTTATTTGTCGACTTTCCTCCTTCAAAAAAGACATTCCATCTGTAGTGACCCACAAATGAAACTAAAATTCCCGTACTGATTGAGGTCAACGTGAATTACAAAATGACGAACGGACAATGGTGGCATCGGAAAGTCGTTACACATATCAGAAGCTGGTCATCACCATGCTTTTCTTTAATTTTTGTTTTACTAATAGGCCGTGTCAGCCGGTGTGATACCACTGAACTATTACGTTGTGTTTCGCCGTCGCAGTGAGGTTGTTTTTATGTAATAAGTCGGCAAACGAGCAGACGTATTACCAATGGACACCAGCAACACCAAAGGTTTACGAGAGCATTTCTGGCCTTTTGGGGATAAAGGTTGCGGATATAAGGATTGGCGGCTACGGTGCTTTCAGGTTGCCGTTTGCTTGGTTGCCGACCTCTCCTATAAAAAAACAGTGTTTAAATCCCTTGAATAATGATATTCTTTTTCTCGATGATAGTAAAACGCTACATTTACGTGTATCCAAACGTACACACTCGCACTTAACTTGTTTTTAAATTATTTGTTTTATGTCATTAACATTATGTATCGATACTCCTGACTCGAGCACTGCTCTTGTATTTTACAATTTATTGAATGTTAGCGAAATTTTAATTGGGTGTCGATTTTTTTTTATGAAAGATTTTTAGTTACTAACGTGTTTTAACTTTGTTTCATTGAGTTTTGTAACTTAAAGTATTTCTTATATTTATTTATGAAACTATGCTTGTAATGCTGGTCCTCAAATATGTATGACTGTTTCGTTTTTGGTCGAGTAACCGTTCAACTGCGTTGCGTTTCGCTTACCAAGAGCAACCAACTCATGACTGACAAGTTACAAATCATTTAATACAAGTAGACAGGACTAGACTTTCCAAAAAGAGCTATGTACATACGTCATACTCATACTACGCCGTTCGTAGTAGTTGCTACGACTGCTACGAACTTCGTAGGCTTGTTAGATTAACAATGTTTCTTTATCGTAATTAATTTATTTGATTGCCTTGTTATTTGAGTTGTTTAAAGCATACATATACATTACGTGCTGTATATCGTCACAATCTATTTCGGAGCTACGCAATGTCACCAGTGGTCTTTGAACTGAACCTAAAGTCGTCACGGGTTCCATTCGAATTGCGTCATCACATTTGCCTCTAAGTACCCACTGATGAGTGAATACCACTTCTTACAAAGAAAAGGTATGAGCATTGATCATCACGCATATTTGCGCGGCTTTTTTCAATTATGATTCGAAATTAGAAGTCCAGATTTCCTTACGATGGTTTCCTTCACCGTATGTCACGAGTGTCTACATAAACTTAGAAAGTACATATAACTCAGAAAGTCATATTGATGCTTGCCTAGCTTCGAAACACGTTACGTTAAATAACTAATCTACAAACATAACATTATATAATTCAACTTTTAAATATTTAACTTACAAAGTACACTATTATTTTTTACATATAATATTATGTTATTGTGAACTTATGTTATTTTGATCCGACAGACAAACTATGTGTTTTTGTCTGACATTTTTTACGTCGTGTAACTTAAAATTTACCTGTTTGATCAATAAATAATAAATAGTTATAATAACCTAAGACCTTCGATCTTTTGTTAAATTACTGGCAGGTCGCGATAATTTTAATAAATTTATTAATAATAATTTGTAGGTATTATGTATTTTATTCTTTTTTTAACAGACTTCAAAAAAGGAGGACGTTCTCAACGCGTATTTTTTATTTATTTATGTACATATGTACACCGATTACTCGAAGACGCCTGGGCCGAATAAAAATATTCTTTTTTTTAATCATTTATTGCGTCTTTCATGGAGTTTATTTAACAAAAAATGGAGGTGTTATTGCTAGTTTCTTGCCGTGTTCGCTAGGGGCGCAAGTGTTCGTTTTAAAGACTAAGTTTCTGTTTAATACAGTTACGTATTATTTATTAAATTTGTAGATTACCCTCTAATTATCCAATATTTTATAGCGATGTGATTATCGACATTTCTTTGTAAAGCATAGACAATATCCGAAATAGTTTTTAATAATTATAATCTTTCGTGGTAACGCCGGTAAACGCATTTGTAAAAGGAAGAAATTGTAATATTATTTTAATTTAGTTCCACACTAGTGGTTAGTAATAATATTATTTTTTAATATAAGGACGTTTTTAATCTCTGAACGATCAAATGCACGAACGCCACCAAAGGAGTTACGAGTGCGCTACCGACAATATAAATTATCTATGTTCGTAGCGGTCAGTTAATTGAGGGGTGTACATAATATTGTCATATACATATTCATCAGAATTAATCTGTTCTATGCTCAATCCAATCCAATCCTTACTCAAATTGTGGTAATAACTCGTTGGGATGCAATCAAATATGACCAAAGAGAGGTCAGACGCAATTCGTAGATACTTAATAATATGTGTTTATATCGGTGCGCATAATCGATAACCAAAGATAAATCAAAATAAATTATTCATTCAAATTTAGAACGCCTTCCTTTTTTGAAAGCGATAAAAGATGTCCTTTTAATATTCAGAATTTTGAATACAATGTCTTGTGTGAGATATGTTGAATTAATTAATAATTTTAATGGCTAAATCGCAGATGGATTTGTCGCCATAACTCGATTATTTGCTAGCCTCGCCAGGGTCACTTCTTTATGAGCAGCATCGCGCGACTCGGAGAACGTCGGCTCACAGGCGACTGCTGGGTAATTCGGGCAGTGAACAACACAAGAAATAATTGTAAAATGTATTATGAATTTTCAGAGTAAACATCCTAGTACCGTAGTGTTTAACATCCTACCACACCCCCTTTTGAGTGTTTTATATGTCTCAAAGTGAGAACTTAAATACTCCATAGAAAGATTATCAAGAATTTAAAACTCAATAACAATATCACACGCCGGTTTTCTTCGAACCTAAGCGAGTTCGTCACTTGCTTTTCAAGTTACTATACAGACAAATAATTTAATTGACATTTTATACATGTTATAAAAAAAACCCCAATTTACAAACACAATCTGTACTAGTTAAATATCGATTGAAATTTCTCTAAAATATGTTTAAAGTTATTAAAAAAAACCCATTGAAAAAAGACAATCGATTTATCATAATCGGTAAACGGTATCGATATAAAACGTTAGTCTATGAGCATCCTTACTTTCGATTTCGATGCGAACGCAACACAGTAGCAATTTAACAGTTTGAAGATCATCATAAATGCAGCAGTCCTGCACAGAGTCAGACGGCGTACAGGATACTTGCAGACATTGCGAGGCTCTGCTGCAGATCCTTAGATCGTTGTAAGTAGTTATTCAATATATTTTGAACTCTCATAACCCGGCCAAGGACTGATAAACGGTGCTCAATTGCTAAATTGTTCGACGTAATCTTAGCTACGCAATATTTTTATTTTTTTTAACCTTTTTGTTTTATCAAACGGCTGTTATTGTTAATTTTTTTATGTTGCGTTGTGGTATTTTTGAGCCTTAATAGTAGAATTTCTTCAAAGCTAATTTATTAATGTATATTATTAAAAATACTCCGTACTTCGAACCACTATCTCTGTGTGGGTAAATGCATCGTGGCCAACGACCATTGATACTTAATCGAGTTTCTGATGACCATGCTTGTTATGTTCGTCTGGATTTATTTTGTATTTTAAGTCCCGCGATCGATAAGTCCGTTTTTTTAAACGCAATATAATTTAACATATAAATCCGACCACGTAGCCATAATGTCGGTCATATAGGCAGCCTACCTCTCGACAGCAAAATTGTCTTTTATTGCGTTTTATTTTTACAAATTTACTATAGGATCTCATGATAAAATCAAAGTATTTTTATGTATTATTTTTTACTTTTTGAGAAAATACGTTTCGCTCAAGGTTCTTATTTTGTCCCAAATAAATTGAAATAAGTATTTTTAAACAATGAAGGTAGAATGTTTAGAGGTAAATTGCTATAACGAGTGCGAATATTTTACTACCGTATCAATGGTTTCTTTTGATTAATTAGAACTTAAACAAGATGTTATACATTAATAAAATTAAAAACTAACCGGAGTTGGCTGTTGCGGGTCGCAACATTTCGGATCTTCGTATTTATTTTTAAAAGAATTAAACTAAATCCCGGCTCCCATCAATATGTACACGAAATGTATATTTTAGAACATTTGCCCTTTTATGTGGCATTTTTTAAAAGAAATTCAAAATTATGTAAGGCATAGATTCAAGTATTATCGAATAACTTTTTATATTACATTGACCTTGGCTCACATGTGGCCAACGGCTATGTAGACTATGATAGCCGCGCGTATACTTTCAACAGCGGATGCAATATAAGTGCATTATAGACTAAAGATAACGGCCATTATTTCGGATCATCATTTGAAAACTGACCTTACATAACGTAATGATGAACGCAAAAATGCTATAACGTATTCATACAAATTTCATAGAAAATTATCGTTTTTGACATTTGAATAAAAGTATTGAATTTGACTGGTTGGAAACTACCGTATCAATAAAGCATAAATTGAACAGATGACTAAGATACATATGTAGTCTGTAGTATTTAGTCTTTGGTCCGTAATATTTTATGTAGTTGCTGGTTCGTTCGTCTACATTCTGGAAGGGGTGCCTAGCTTATTGAAAAGAAATCAAAAAAACACATAGAGGTAGAAAACATAATTATAAATCTTATATAATAAAACGACAAAATTTTATTTCTTTACGTACTGCGTAACTACCCTCAGTAAAATAAAAAAAGCAATCTAAGTTAATAAGTTAGTGATATCGGTCATTATCTTATTAGGATACTGATCCCTGTTGAGCTGGAAAGGGAAAGGTAATCAGAATTTCTTATTAATTCAAAATAAACAAGAAACAACTTTACTGTGCCAGTCATTTGTTTTGTTAGCAAACTACAGTATCGATGTTTCTATGATATTCTAATAGTTTTTAGGTGAATAAGAATGTTCCTTCATGTTCATGCAAAAAAAAAGAAAGAGTTAAACGGAGCTGACAGGAACAGGTTTCGCTGTGTTTTTTTTTGTTTACGCGATTGTCGATCTATTTTATATACTTCTGAAGATGTGATTGAACTTAAGTTACCTAACTAATAATGGTTTATTTGTAGTTATCGGTGCAAGCTGCTGGCTATGAATTGTAAGAAGACGTCAGCGTCTGAAGGGAGACCGCCTGAGCGAGCGAGTGACCCTCGGTCCGAGGACCCGAAAGCGCCTTTTCCTAAGTAGGTAACTCTTTTAATATTAGCTAGTCTGAAGCAGTACCTGTTTCTCTTCTTTATTTATCTGATTGAACGGCAAACGATCAGACTGATTTCCTGATGGTAAGCAATCAGCGCCGCCCACGGACACCCGTAACAACAGAGGAATTACGAGTGCATCCGATCTTTTGGGGATTAGAGATTAGGAGGTTTTAGGAAGGATTGGGCCTCCGATAACCTTACTCACACGGCGAAACACAACGCTGTGGTTGTTTCAACCGGTTTTCTGTAAGGTCTATCACTCCGGTCGAGTCGACCCATTCGTGCCGAAGATTGGCACTGCCACACTTCATCTTCCCACTGCTGCAAGTAATATACCAAAAAAATAATTATTGAAATTGAATTTATTAATTAAACGCGATTTAATTTTTCCACATCCAATCAGAGCGCAGTAGGTTCCTCATAAACGTGTCGGTTGCCGCCACGTAAGACTAGCTCGCATTAGGCGAGACGTCACAACATTACCTAGATATTTTATACAAATAAAAGAAAAACGTATTGAATTTGAATAGTTGGAAACTGGCCTATTAATTCATCAAACCCCAATTTTCGCAGCTATTGTTCTTCTATTGGATCTGGAATTACCACAATAATAATAATAATGCATCCGCAAGGCAGCTTGTGTCAGTGGCGACCCCACGGACCTGACTCCCAAGAGGTGTCTTGTTCTTCTCTCTCCGGTTAGTCCTTGTGACTAGCTGGAGTGAACATTGATGAGGAACAATCCCTGGGAGGGCTTGTAACCCTATAAATTTTTATCACATTTCGCAATAGTCCTCCATCAACTGGGGATTGTCCTTGGGTGCACTTTCATAGTGCATACAGGGATAATTGCCGGCTGATGTCTCATTTCACTTATATTAAAGTTGTTCAAAGGGCCTCTGCGAGTTGGCTTCGGCCCCTCGTACGCCTTCCAAAAGTCCGGGACCCTCTGGTCCCGTGAGTGGAAAGGAACATACAAAATAATAATGCAAACTAATTTTATCTATATTATTTAGCTTAGAAAAATGTAAGACGAAAAACAGTGGTGTGGAATCGCCGAGGAAGTTACCATGTAAGCCTGAGCCACGACCTCCAGACTCGCGGTCTGAAGAGCGGAAAACCCAACCTATGTGAGTATATTTCTATTATTTAAATGTACCCATATTTCAATATTACAAAGGCCCTTATAATCGCATGTAATGTAGGTACGTAACTACATAACATGAAATGCCACGACATACAAGTTCAAGCATGTTTCACGACATACAAGTATATTTCCGAAACCAGTGAAACCGACCAGCCACTTACTCATCACGAGATTTTAGTATGTACCCACCTTACACCGAAAATTATAAAAAAAAGAATTTCACTCACTATTGAAAAAAAACCATTAAGAATGTGTAACTTTTTTTTAGACGTGAGCCCACTCTAATTACTTTATGGTTTTACTGTGTCAGGGGTATCTACAAACATACAATAAAATTTGACGTAGACATCACAACTAGACTCTCCACAGCTCCATCCCTCTTTCTCGCCCGGAAGATTCACGCTATAACACTTTATGGTAGGCCTACTGAACCAACAGTTAGTGAATCACACAAAGAGTTGTCCCGTGCGGGAAACGCAATATTAATTTTATTATTGCAATAACTGTGTACCAATAAAACATTACGCAAACCAAGGGCTTTGGTTAAGTTTGATGTAGTGACTTGAGCGCTTGATTGCAGGTGCAGAGTCCGGATCACTAGCCCTACCTTTCCTTCAGCAAGCGTCCCGTCCTCTAACATGCCGCCAACCAATATTCCGTCTCCTAAATTGGCTCCAAACAACGTTACGTCCTCTAACTTCCCGCCAACCAGCAGCAAGTCTTCTAACTTGGCTCCAACAAGCAACCCGTCCCCTAGCTTTCCTCCAACCAGCAATCCGTCCCCTCATTTCCCTCCAACCAGTATTCCTTCCCCCGATTTCCCTTCTAGCAGCATTCCTTCTCCTAGTCTTCCTCCAACTAGTATCCCTTACCCTAACTTCCCACCCACCAGCATCCCGTCCTCCAATTTCCTTCCAACCAGCATCCCATCCCCCAATTTTCCTCCAACGAGCAACCCGTCGTTTCACTTCCCTCCGACGACCATCCCTTCCCCGACCTTTCCTGCAAACAACATCCCTTGCCCTAACTTCCCTCCTACCAGCATCCAGTCCTCCAATTTTCTTCCAACTAGCATCCCGTCCCCTACATTTCCTTTAACCGGCGTACAGTCCTCAAGAAAACTCTCAAATAATGTCCCGCAACTTACCATCCCGCCACCAAGCATACCACCACCGGATCCTTGTTTTGTAAACCCACTTGTATCTGGTAAGAATTTATAGTTATATCGCACACAAACTGACTATTATCTCAAACTGAGTAAGTAGTAGTTTATACATGCAGATGAATGCAGGATTACGAATGGTTTTAATTAGAAATAGTGTAGTTAAAACGTCGCCGGTAGAAGACATTCTAAGACATCATGATACTGATAACATTTGAAAGATTTAAAATAAATAAAAACTTCTGAATACTTTAAAACGGATTGTGGAAAGTATTAAGGGTTATAGAAGGTGGAAATATATTGTTACTGGTTGCATCCATGGGGCAAAGGATTTTATAGAACAGGAGAAGTTTGTTAGGAGAGCAGTGTGTACATATCACTCTCATCTCGGCATTAACGTCTACGGCTAATGCCACTCATACGATAGAACTACCAAGAAAAGTTTGCAGAGTTCTAGAAAATGACAGCACTGTTGGCCTAAGACCAGTTGTACTTGTGTTTGTGCCACAAATGAGAGTATCCTAGACCAATAGTATTTTATTGCAACTGACTTTCACAACTATTAGAAGTAGAGGCTTTTATAATATGTATCGTAGGTACTAAATTACTTACATTTGTTACCAGAGCCCTTACCTGAAAGCAGTTACGACATGAACAGACCTTATGCCATGTAAGTCTCTGGGTGATTGACCGAACACCGCATTTGTGAGCTGGGACAACTTGTTTATAATAAATTATGGTTTTGTAGAAACAATTTAGGTCCTCCATTGATCACAAGCCATGGGCCGGTGCTATTAAGCCCTGGTGCGTTGGACAGAAAGTACAATGAGTTTAACTGGATGCCTGGGGCTTCGTCGAGGAGGCACATTCGCAGCCCACCAGAAGTTATGCCCTCGCCACCGACGAGTACGCCGTCACATCACATCGTGATCTACCCAGTTCAGCAAGAGCATGGACCAATGCGGCACGAAGTATTTTTTGGTAAGTGTCACATTTTACGGCTTTTTCTATCTTTAAGAGCTTTGTTGTGTGCGACTTCATATCCAGGCTCTGAGTAAATCTATCAACTGACATGATAAAAACTTATTGCTAACTGATATTTTTTCTTTGGTTTTTGTTCTTTCAAACCAAACCATTGCATAAACTACTATTAGGTGTCACTATTTATAAAACAAATTCAGTTTACCTGATAGTAAGCAATCGGCGCCGCACATAAACCCGCATCATCAGAGGAGTTACGAAAGTGTTGTCGGCCTTTTGGTAGTTATGAATGTTTAGAAGCGCTTAACATTGTGTCCAGTATTTTCATAACGAAATTGTATAATGTTTCAGGTTGCACACAACCTTACTGTCATTATTGCCATAAAAACTGCAAGCCGACTGCTCCCAGAGAAACATTTGCAACTTTCCCCGGCGGTATATGGACTCCACAGCCGGGAGAGGTAAGACGACCCTAGAAATGCACGAATATAGGTAATATCCTATTACCTATATTCGTGCATTTCAAATGTGTATTCATGCATTTCTTTACTTAACTCTGAGAATTCTCTTATAGTACATATTCAAGTTTATTTCATGCTTTGACAATAAAGCGCCGTTTCCATTAGTGTTTTTTGTTTTGAACTTTTATATCCGACAACCTTGGTTCTAAACCACCTTTATATTAACAGAACAACTAAATTAGTGTGACTGCAATTAATAAAAGTTCAAAAAAAGATGCTATCAATTAATCATACTTACCTAATTCAATTTATTCGTAAATCAATAAATAAATAATTACCTATAGCCATTTTCTGACGATTAAACAAGAGATGTTTTTAACCGACTTCAAAAAAGGAGGAGGTTCTCAATTCGACGCGTATTTTTTTTTTTTTATGTATGTACACCGATTACTCGAAGACGCCTGGACCGATTTAAAAAAATCTTTTTTTATTAGATAAAGGAGTTGTACGGCGATGTACCACCGTGGTTCTCACCACCTCTCGAGGTAATAATATTTTTTTAAATATAACATTAAAAATAAGATAGGGTTGGAGATTGCATTTTAAAAGATTCTGATATATCAGAGAACTGTTCTGGTAGGTCTTGGTTGACTGTGATATGGGTAAGCCTTGGTGTGCTCTTAACCGCGATAGCAGGAGTGGTGGCATCACATCACACACACTGCTGGGCAAAGGCCTCTTCTCACACGGAGACGGTTTAAGCATTAATTAACTTGCTTGCTCAATGTGGATTGGCGATTTCAAACTTATAATTAGAAATTATAAGTCCAGGTTCCCTCACGATGTTTTCCTTCACCGTATGTCAGTGGTGTCTAAATATTTTTAGCATGACTCTCTCACATTTAAATATATTACATACTTAGATATTTAAAATGTATTTGTAGGTGACTGCTACTGTACCACCAACTCCACCGGCCGCCGCTGATCCACGCTACGGTCCAGAAGCTCCAGAGACCTCACGCTACAACCCAATGATGCCCACGCCAGTCTCGCCGCAAGGGGCAATTCAGGCGCCGCCCGGCTTTTGGGAAAGACCTTTTAATCCCCCTCCCCCAGCCCCTGTCGGAAATAGTCCCATTCTAGATAACCCCTTTGATGAGGTAAGTCAGAACTCTTGTGTGCACTCATTAAATTATTCTTCTTCAATGAAAAGCTAGGGGCTGATAGAAATTGGTAAAGACCTAATGAATAAGCATATGAATTCTTAAGCCCTAGATACTATGGTACGAGTAAGTATAGGTATAGGTGAGGTAGTGGTAAGTATAAGCATATGAATGACGGGGATAAAAGTTTTTTATGAACTGGGAAGTTGTAACTTTACAACGTAATTTTTTTAGCCGACTTCGTTGAAATAATGTGCAGTTTCATGCATACCTCCCGCCTTGCAGGGTAACATAAAAATAATCCTTAATATGTATTTAAGTAGGTGCCTACAATAGGAACGTGGCAATAAATATTGGACATCGGCATATTTATTCATGACAGGTAATATACATTTGAAAAATACTTTCAGATTTTACTAAGTAGAATGAAACATAACTAATTAATTACCTAATAACTTATTATGTACATCAAGTACGAGTCAAGCATTTATGTGCAAGTCACGAAGAATGATAGATATAATAATATGTAATAAATAAATAAACTTTATTGTACACCAAAAGAGTTGACATGCATAGTACAAAATTACAGAATCCAAAGTACCTACCTACTCAGTACAAAGGGGCGGTCCTTTGGTATTTTATCGAGGCATATCGATACCAAATGCCATATTTATCGTTTTAAATGCACTCGGGTACATTAAATAATTAGATATTATATAGGTACCTAGTATCTACTGTTTTTATAAACACGATTGTTTTCTATTTTTCCAGATGGATTTGCAGGCCAGGTTGCAGGAACTAGAACGTTCTTTTGCTAATATAAATCCTTACGAATAATTTTTACATTTATTTTTTAAGTTTTTTTTACCCTACTTACCTAAACTTTGCTAATGTGCTATAGTTTAGTTTTTAATTCGTTCTTTCAATCGATTTATGTAGCTCATAGGTAAATTTGTAAGTTAGTAGGTACATACTTAGTTGCTTACTTTACTTTCTATTGTAAATTGATTTTAGAATTAAGTAGAAAGACGAGTAGCCTACCTTTAGTGTTGTATATTTTTTTGTGGTTTTAAAAACAAAAGGCGCGCGAACGTCGGCGTTTTCTTAGGAATTAAGAACAAATTCGGTTGAGTTTTCTGCTTTGCTGTTGTGGGATTGTGTTATAAGGTTAATTAATATGCCTAATTTAGATTTTTTAAACGTTGTTACGACCCGCGTCATTTGACAAACTTCTGATCAAGATATTAAGAAGTTTGTCTGGTGATGTCGATCTTTTTCCTTACGTCTTTGCTTTCAATGAAGTAAGTATATGTCGCCATCGACTTGTAATTAAGTAGGTACTATTTATTTATCTTCGGAAATATTTCGTTACGGAGTGTACAAATATTTCCTCTCTCCCTTGTTGACTAAAAACAAAGATAAACTTTACTTTTTCATATTTTTTTAATATTATGATAGATGTCTATCGTAAATAAAATATAAGTTTTTCATAAGTGTTTTGTTGTTTTTTTGTCCTTAATTATATTTTCACTTTTATTTTTTGGTAGCACTTTTATTACCTACCTTTCTACTTAGTTAATGCAAAAATTAATTAGAGACGTTTCTTTATATCTTTATTTTCTTTTTTTTTAAAAAATGCCTCAAATTAGGATGTTCTGCTGTGTCGTGGGTGCGTTTACAAACATACAATATAACATCACACCCAGACCCGGAACAACAATCTGTGGATTAGGTACACAAAGAGTGGTTCCGTACGGGAATCGAACCCGCAGCACGTTGTGCGGCAGCCAGTTGCCCAGCCACCGCGCCTATAATATTAGTAGTAAGTAACTCAGTCAAAACAAAACATTTTTTTTAAACGTTGCCCCTAACTATGGTTTTCCTGTGTCGTGGGTGCGGTTACAAACATACAATTTCACATGCACATGACAACCAGACCCGGAACAACAATTTGCGGATCACACAGTGCTGTTCGGACCCGCGACACGTGGCACGTGGCAGCCAGTTCCCAGCCACCGCACCAACCTGACTGCACGTCAATTTTTTTTTTAATAAATTAGTATGCATAAGTATTGTTTTGTGATACCTATGCAATTAATTCATTCATTTTTATTTAGAGGCAAATACAGATTACTACAAACTAGTCATACTATTTGGTGTGGAGTACGTATTGAGGCAAGGAAGTGTTGAATTTGACTATTTGGAAACTATCCTATTACAGAATTCACCCCCATAGAATATAATTAAATAAGTCCTAATTATCTTAGGATCATGCAAAGAAATGCTTCGTACGGAAAAAGCGATCCGATCTGCTGCTGCTTTAGTATGCAGTTATAAGGGGGTCTTAGTAATCCTAAAGAACATAAACTGAAAATAAAACAATTTGAGCACAGTTTAAGATATTTATTGATAAAAAAAATACTTAGGTATAGGTACCACATACGGCTAGAGGTATTTACAACTTGGGTAGTAATTTACAAGTTTGCACTTAGTTGATTACTATTTAAGTATAACACTGTTGTACAATAAATAAAATTATAAACATGAAATCGTAATATTTCGATTAACACAGATATTTTACAAGTTTCATGTACCAACTTTCTAAGATTATTTAGACCCTACTGACATATGCTGTGAAAACATCATGAGGAAATCTGGACTTACAATTTGTAAGTTATAAGTTTGAAATTGCCATTGGCCAAGACCTCCACGACCAGCATTAAGCAAGAGTGATGGTTTAATTGCTCATAAAAGAGGGCATTGCTCAGCCATAGGCTGATAATGATGACAACAACTAAATAGTATATTGTTACAAGTCATATGAAGTAAAGTTATACATAAATTGATAGCAACTTAAAGATACCACTTAATATATAAGTAGTTGCTAGATCAAATCAATTGATGACGACATCATTACTTAGCACATGCTGAGTCAATGTCCAGAAGTTTACATATTCATTTTGTAGCATAAAAAAGTCACAAAAATCTAATCTAACCTCTCATATGCATATGCAGTATATCCCTCTCATATGCAGACACTATAGAAAATACATTGTGTGTCACTTATATACAATCAGGCATACCACATGCTTAATTATTAATTCTACATGATTAGACAATTTATGTAACATAATTGGTAAAAAGTCATGTTCTACTGATCAGCATCCAAAGATGGAGGGTTTGTGAATAACAAATATCTATACTTATATTATAAAGAGGAAAAATTAGTAAGTTTGTATGTTTGTAAGTTTGCAAGTTTGTATGTAGGGGGTAATCTTTGAAACCGCTGATCGGATTTCCAAAATTCTTTCACTGATAGATAGCTACAATGTTCCTGAGTGCTATTATAGGCTATAAAACATCACTCTACGACCTGTAGGAGCCGAGCAGCGGGTGAAACCGCGCGAGGGTAGCTAGTTCTTTATACATATGAACTTTGAATTATTACACTTACATATTGAGAAATTTTACAGATTTAAACCTAATCAATCATCTGTCTTTCTTATTTTTGATTTAGATTTACTGTTATCATCATGCTTTCGTTTTTTTGATTTACTGTCATCAACACTTTCATCCACTTGCTCAAGAGCTACAATTGGTTTGTAATCATTTGGTGGCGGGGTTTGTAGATCAAAAGATGTATACCTTCTTACTGTCATAGTCAGTTCAAAGCTGTCATCCTGCACTGCATCCATATTTGGTCCATTTTTTATATAACTTATAGTAGAATATGCTGTGTAATGAAAATCTTCTACCAAATAACTTCCAAGTAATAAGAATGCAATAATATCTTCACCTAGGCCTCTTGAAATGGTTGGTTCTTTTCCTTTGTGTCTAAGGTTAACTGGACCTTTTAGGAACCAAGCATCCAGTAGCTTCTGAGCTGTTAGTTTAACATCTTGTTTCTCAGCATTCTCAATAATACTGCCCAATGTTTTACAATACAACCTCACATTGATATTCTTCTCACTGGTGTTGGAAGTGGAACAAACATCACACATTTTGTTACAATCTGCACTTCCCCAATTTTCATCAAAATGTTCAGCTATAATAAGCCTCCTGCATAATGAACCGTTAAGGCAGTACTTGACCATACCATACAGATGTTCCAAGTTACCAACTGAGGAGAACACCATGGTACTGACCTTAAATATATCCTGCATTCTGTACAGAGTGACACACTCTGCCCTTAGGCCATCACGACCAGCTCTGCCACTCTCTTGATAGTAGTTTTCCATTGATTTACTTATTGTATGGTGTATAACAAACCTAACATCAGGTTTGTCAATACCCATTCCAAAAGCAATAGTGGCTACAATTGCTTGATAGTACTTTTCATGCCATTTTGTATGCACTTGTGAGCGGACTGCAGCCTCTAAGTTTGCATGATAACATCCAACTTTCAGACCTCTCTTTCGCAGCCCCCCAGCAATGTCTTCAGCATCTTTAATGCTGTTTGTATATATTATGCCGCTTTCACCCCTGTACCTACCTTTTAACAGTTTTTCTAGTATAGTCAGGCATTCTTCTTGTGATGTTGGTTTTTCAAGTATTTTGTAAAATAAATTAGGTCTATTAAAAGTAGATTTGATAACTAAGCAACCAGGAATATTAAGAATTTTTTGGACATCAGTCAGGACACTAGCAGTAGCAGTGGCTGTCAGCCCTAAGAGAGGAGTGTTTGGAAACATTTGTGTCAAAATACCTAAGTATTTATAATCTGGTCTGAAGTCATGGCCCCATTGGGAACAACAGTGCACTTCATCAATGGCTATCCTTTGTAACCTGCCTGCTGCATAACAAGCCTGTAGATTTGACATGAACCTTTTACTTTTAGCAAACCTTTCAGGTGTTACATACAGCAACTTGATCTTTGTGTTCTTATCCTTCAATGTGTTTAAAGCTTCAGACGTTTCCTCCTTTGTGCTTGTGTTTGACATTAGTTTAGCTGGTATGTTTCTATTGGTTAATGATCTTATCTGGTCTTCCATCAAGGATATAAGTGGTGACACTACAACAGTCAGACCAGGTTTCACTAAGGCAGGCAACTGATAGCACAGACTTTTCCCTGCACCTGTTGGCATAACTACGATGGCGTGTTGTCCTGACAGAGTAGAATTAATTGCAGCCAGCTGTTTAGGTCTGAATGAATCAATTTTATAAACATCTTTCAATACTCTTGTAACATCTTCAGACCATTGATACGTGGTACCTGCCCAGTCTACACTGGACAATGTGTCCGTTTTCATTTTATTTATTGAATTCTTTATTGACAGTTTCTTTTCATGAAGCACACGTTGTCGGTCCTTCCATTTCGCCAATTCTGCATTAACTTTAGATATCTCTTTGTCAACATCTTTTAGCTCGAGTTCGAGTTTTTCTATGGTTGTCATATTAAATATGGTCTAAATTCTATTTTAAATAACTGTTCCAAAATTTCCTTGCCGGCTTGTCTTACGGTAGTAATGGTCAATATTGAATAGAACAACAACCCGAATACGTTTGTTTTACTTGAACTTGTGAGTAATATTTATTTCTAACATCAAGACGCTAGTGAACTATTATAGTAATTGTTTTCCTATAATTTCTTTGAAATGTAAATAAAATCAATTTCAATTTATTTCGATCTTTTTAATAAACAAGTCTGATCATTGACATCTTGACAGATTTACACTTGACGTTGGCAGATCGCAGATTTTGATGTATTTGACTGTGGCATTGACAAAATGTGACAAATAGGTAATGGAAAACATTTTATAGGTAATCTTCCAAAGTTAGTAGCCCAGAGTACATTTTAGTAATAGAAAGTTAGTAGAATAATTTTGATGATATGGTGCTTATCATGGGTTCTTTACTTATCCTTAGAACATAATTAACAAAAAGAAGATGAAGCAAGTATATAATTAACAAGTACTTTTTTTTTCTTACAATTTTAGACAAGCAATAAGGACCATAGATTACAAGCTGTTCCCGCCCTAAAATCAATATTTTCGTTTTCGATTTTCAGTTGGTGCAAGGAGTAAAAAGTATCATAAATATCGGATTTTTACCTTTTACTAATTTTATGTGCCTATTATTATGGACCTCCACTCCTCAGCACTGAGGAAACCGACGCGAGGAGGAGGATTATTATGGACCTACAAACATGTAAGTTAATTTTAGAATAACCAATAATACAGTAAAACTCAGCGTTAACTTTTTGAAGTATTTTATAACAACGATAAATAAATGTTCTTGTAGTTGTAGGTCTCTACCCCATAGGTACTACAAAATTTATATTGTTTACCTTCGTTTCTTTGAAGTTGGTTTTAGTTGCTAGGTAATCAATAGATAATCAGAAATAGAATCATTTAATTCTTTGGCTTCTGACAGAGAAAAGATATACGTATCGAGTGCTATAGTCCACCCGGCCTCCATTTTATAAATGACACGCCTTTCGATTTGCTACCTCGTGATCCCCAAGCGAACGCCAGCGTTCGCATGTGCGGTGTATGTTATTATTCAGCCCTTTACGTACTTTACTTAGGTAGGACTTTCAATGTTGGATAGTTCTTATGATTTTAGAACATCAACTGGGCATGGCCTATACCTTCAGGAATAAGTATAAAAACATGTCCAAGTACCTACTGTATGTGCCCATTGGAGCCTCACACAAACAAGGCCAAACACGCGGAGCCTGATACAGGTAGAGATTGTAAAATAGTTTTAAGTAGCTAATTCTCACTCAAATCTTGAACAAACTTTGTACCTGTAATAGAGAATAGTATTTAATTTTGTGTCTTGAAACCACAATTGAAAGGTAAAATTATTAATCAATACATTTTTTTATGAATTCTTCCGAGAAGAATCATCACTTTTATAAGTTTTTAGTACTAGCGCATTACAATACATTTTTCTAGTAAGTCTTAGTTATTAATAGGTAAGCGTTGTTGATGGGAAGTGACAGCAATTAGTGACACTGCCACATAGCTCACAACGCTACAGCATATCTTCTACTTATTTTGATATAATCAATCCAGATATTGTTATATTGTCCAGGTAGAAGTACACACAACTATTCTCATACTAATTCAGTTAGTCTTATTGCCATATACAATGTTAGGTGATGCCATTATTGTTGCATTGTGATGGTGATTATTGTTGCAGGTACTACATTCCCCGTGGGGTTCATGGACAGGCAGTATAGGTAAGTGAAAAATTGTTAAAATCTAGAACTGTGACAAAACCTTGGCAAAACATGCCAAGGTTATTCTTCTTCTAGCCTATTATGAACACAATTTGGAAGGGGGCTGGATCTGGCGGACGGCCAGTTCGTCTTTCGCAGAGGGTACTCCACAGTGGATACCGTCATGCCCGTAAGGGACCTCACGACGGGGACTGCATCAACCAGGGGGCGGTGTCTTAACTCGCTGCCCTGGAGCTGCATTCGACAAGCACTTCGGTACCACCGGATGCCTGCCAACCTCCGTCGTGTAGTCGAGACTTAATTGACGGACATACCCTACATCGAGAGGTATATCACATCACATTGTCTACGGGGAGGGGTCAAACCACCTTGCCGGATCACCGCCGTGGGGTCGGGAATCGAAGGAGCCCGAACGCGTCTACAGTTTGCGCGCAGGCGCGTATCATATCAAATTAGTGCCTGGAATGAGTTCCGGAGCGATCTCATGGTAGAGTGGAGGCAACGTCTGTTGCAACCGAGGGCTGGGCACGCTGTTAAAGCAGCGGTAAAACCCGCGAGACTGTTTGAGGCGTGGCTTGAGAGGTGCCATGGCGTCCTCATGTTCCGCCTAACGCAGGTGCTTAGAAAGTGTCGTCATTGTGAGGACCACCCAGAAGACGCGGTGAAACAAACGGTTGCGGTGTGCCCTTAATTTGTTAACACTTTTAATGTTTCATATTTTTATTTCGAAACTTTTGTTCCATTTACAATTAGCAAAATAAAACGCATGTTTCAAGATTTCAAATGATCTGTTCTCCTAAACCCTTGCGCCAATCCTGTAGGCTCTATTTATTTCAATATGGTCAGTGTTCGGGGTTACATACAAGTAAGCGCCGTATTTCAAGGAATAGTCTGTAAGATTAACTATTGCTCAATCGACCGTGCAACAGTATAATTTCTTCTGTATTAGAATATACAGTTTAGATTATACTATAGTTCATCAGTAGACATACAAGTGACGATTTTAACCTAGCAGTTTCTTCAAAAAATAGGCATTGCACCTGTGACTCCGCTGGTGTCGCGGGTATGCATCGGCGGCGCTTATCACTTCATCTTCTTTCATAAAAAAGCGATATGTATGTATACTTGACATGTTGTCTGAAGTGACGGTTATACTATTGCAGGTACGGCTGCACAATACCTGAAAGCAATATGGAAGTGTTCTCCCGAGAAGACCTTGGAGGAGTAATTGTTGGTAAGTCGCACTAATAAAATAATACCAATACAACATTTTGTCCAGATCCATTTTTCTATTAAATTACCCATACCAGACTAGGTCGAACGCCAACGCTCAACATCTTGTGTATGTTACTTGTACCGTTGTATATTTTGTGAATATTCAGGCTACTGGAAAAAGGTAGAGGAACTGTTATATCTAACTGAATGGCAACGAGAGATGTATCCTCATTTCATCTACGTATGGATAGATGACGGTGGATCATTGCGTTAGCCATAAGTTATCAATAGGTAAGCGTTGTTGATGGGAAGTGACAGCAATTAGTGACACTGTCACATAGCTCACAACGCTACAGCATATCTTCTACTTATTTTGATATAATCAATCCAGATATTGTTATATTGTCCAGGTAGAACTACAAATACCTCTGAGTTAGTTAGTCTTATGTGAGTTGCAATAAACAATATTATGTGACGTCACTGGGATATCTTTGCAGGTGCTACATTACCTAACAGCATTATGGAAGTATGGAAGGTGCTCTGTCAAAACTGCGGTAGAGAAATAAAAAACAGTTAATTTAAAGCGCATCATCAAAACCACTAAAATGAGTCTTATACGGATACTACAATTCCCAATCTTCCTTTGTGCGTATGGTACGAGGACAGTACGTTATATGTTCTAGAGATGCTGGAAGGAAATGCTTGGCGTTAATACGATGTCTAGTGCTTATAGATCAGATCGACTCAGATCAGTCTAGCACATGGGTTTATGCATGCTCAACATAAGTCAGATAAAATGAATCAGACTGCGCGAAACAGTAAAACATGCAGAAAGCTGACGAGAGACCGTGTGAAAAGCAGGGTCTGCCTCTAAAACAATACGGCTACGAGCTCCAAACGTGACCACGTCAAAATTGAAGCGACAGAGAAGATAATGGATGCGCTCTCCCGGTATCCTGGAGCAGTTGTTGTAGGTAAGCTATCTTTAGAATTTCTGGATCAGCACAAAACCTAAGAATCGAGACTGTGATTGTGGCTCAAGACTCTTCTTGGACCCGGCTAGTTGATCATGTTGATATAAAATTTTATTAACTGCATAGGTTTTGCCGCAGTGCCTAATTTAATGTTAACATAGAAATTCCGCGAAGTAGCCCGTCCCTCATTCCATTGCTTCTTTCCAGCTGGTGATTAGCCCAAGTATGAGTCAGAATTGATGCGACAGTTCTAATGTGACCTGACAGGCTGAACGACGCGACATGGAGTCTGATCTTCTCCAGATAAGAAATAACAAACGTTTAGGAATTGCTTTAATTACTGATTAGAAGCGCAAATTATTACGAACCTCATTGCTACGTGGTACTTTATATGTGGTCAAAAGGGTAGTTTGTCGTTCGTAGTCCGAAAGTGAACGATTATCAAAATTAGAAGCAAATATTGGGCAATAAAAGCACAGATTCTGGTGTTATTATTAAAAGACGAAGTTTTCTTAAATATACGTGGTTCCATTCTTACTTAACCATGTCAAATAAAATTAAAAGTAAGTTAACTCATATTTTAATTAAAAACTTATTGGCACATTTGTTTCTTTGCAGACTAATTGAAGACAAACTCCTGAACACAGTCGTCAGTGATATTTCCGGCCTTCCGCAGAAAAAGAATATTCATCATTGCGACGCATTTTAGACAGGTTGAACTATCTATTTTATCTCGAAAGTACGGCTAAGCTAATTTTTTTGTGATATCTTTTTGATTAATTTTGGAATTTAAAAAATCCTGTACCAACCATTGTTGAGATATGTAATAACATAGTCAGAAATGGCCGATGTCGTATAGATAAATATGTTTTAGTTACTAAAACATAACACTTACTTATTATTTTACGAGTGAGTTCAGTAAGTTTATTAATTTACGAAAATGTTGTGGACGTAAAATATTACAATTTACCTATCTCCCGTTTAGAATCTTACGAAAGTTTATAAACTTCCTAGTGAATTGATAAACTTACGGATCTTGTAATTTCCGGTGACATGAACATAACTTATCCTGATGCATATGTATGTAGGTAACATTTTAACCTTTTTTTGGGTAAAGTAGCTGTGATCCACTATTTGTGA